CAAGCCGTGCGTCGAGGTGAGCCCGACTATATCTAGCCGGAATTTCACAACCTCGCGCACCAGCTCAGGCTCCTTCCCCCTTCGACCATAGTGAAACAGATCCCATGATATCTGACAAGAGTTGGCTGAGACTGTCAGCATCCGAATGGGAGACCTTGTTTTTTTATTGTGATGTCCATGTTGAAATGAAGCAATGAGCCTGACAGTCAATCAAGCATTGATGGTACAGAAATCAGAAAAAAACTCAGCTGATGGGACAGAACGGACCACTCAGATCACAGGGGATTGACTGGTGATGTAGCCAAGAGGATAGTATTAGTAACTCATCATCCGACATGCACTGCGCTGGAGTCTGTGTACCATGCTGATTTGGACACACATATTTGAACAAAAGAAAGATCATGGCCTCTGCTACAGATTCGCTCGATGAAGCATTCTTGCTGTCATCTGATGAAGTGAGCACTGAATCTATGATATGTCCTGCACCCCCCTCATCACCAGTCACTGAGTGAGCAGACAAGGGCCAGCAGTTTGATTTTCCCGCCCTGCCAAGTGTCAACAGATGCTGCACAGTATAAAAGCATTGTTAGTAATACTCCTGCCTGTAGTCATCAGGAGGCATCAGGTAAAAGACTGCTAGGGCTGTGAGATGAACCACCCCAGTCAAACACAACACCCCTGCCTGCTCCCACCTGAGCCAAATTACATGTGCATCCACTTGGATTCTGTGGTTTATGACATGTGGACCGATCGGCTCATCCCTGCTTTGACATTCAGGCTGCCAGGAACATCCAAGCTGTGCCAGAGAGGCTGAAGGGTCCTGTGATGCTTTCCTCTATGATCTAAAACATTCACCCGACATCTTGAATGAAATTGACAGACTGGAAAAGGAGCTGACTGAACCCACTCCTGGCATTCGGCATCTCATGAAAGAATTTCTGACCCAATGGGGGCATGACGAGTAACCTGCTATACTATAACCCCAGGAACTGAGGGTCATATGGGGAGGGCTCTTAAATGGCAGAGAGCTGCCAAGGAAAGGTTAGGCAGGGTGAGATCAGAGAGCAGTTATCTGAGCAGGACACTTACACCCTGGGCAGAGCAGCTGGAAATATATTACCTAGGAACAGTCCAGTCGGAGATTTTGGTCCTGGTGAAAAATGACACAGACATCAATGGTGGGGTACCAGATACCCCGTTACCATTACCTGAGGAAAGGGTTGCCACCGTAAATCTCCCAGACATTATGGCCCAGGCCAAAGATGTCCCGGACAGACATCAAGGGTGGGCGGAGAGTAAATGGCTGACCTTTGGGTTATATGAGAGTTACCCTTTTTGGCTTTTTCTACATCCCATACATGACACCCTCAAAATCCACAACCATTATTTCATCGCCCCTTGCTTGCTTCCCCCTCAAGGGGCGGCCAACCTGGAAGTGCGTAGAGTGGACCATCATTTGGTTGCAGAGCATTCTGTTACAGGGCTCCAAAGTTATTGAATAGTCTACCAGCAAATGTCTGAGGTTCAGACTCACTCACGATATTTAAGTCAAGGCTAAAAACGCACTTATTTAGTCTGGTGACAAAGTAGAATGCTAGTTCCCAACCCCAGTTATGGTTATAGTGTGCAGTACCAATGGGGATGGGGACTGTCATTAATTTTGGATGAACTGGGTGTGCAGTGTCACTCTGGCTTCACATGTCTCGTGTTGTTGGGGTGCTGGTGCTCAGGGATTCCTCCTGCCTGTGTCCCCGGCCCCCCATCTCTCCCAGTGCTGTCAATCTGGCTTCACATCTCCCATGTGTTGCTGAGTGCTGGTGCTCAGGGATTCCTCCTGCCTGTGTCCCCGGCCCCCCATCTCTCCTAGTGCTGTCTATCTGGCTTCACATCTCCCATGTGTTGCTGAGTGCTGGTGCTCAGGGATTCCTACTGCCTGTGTTCCCTCCCACCTCTTCTGCTTAGTTAAGCTGCCATAGTTAATTAGACATGCTGAAGCCTCCACACCGCACTACAAATTACTTTGTATAATTTTCAACTATCTGTCACAGTTTTATTGATGCACTGTTCCTTTTTCTGTCTTGGAGCTCCTGATGGTGGGCAGTTCCCTGCCTGCCCACCCAGCCTGGCTACACATCTGCCATCCTCCTTTGCTTGCTGCTGGACCCACCATCCCTCCAGCACGCCAAAGGAAGCAGCTTCCTCACCTGCCTGCCCAGACATCAGCTTCCATAATTCCACTGGACCTTCCACATTTATACCTGGACTATACACAATTCTACTTCATAAATCAGGACTTTGTTATTTTGGAGTTCCTCTGCCAGCCCCTGGATGATGGGCTCCCCCATTGGGTCTGGTTCCTCCCAAGGTTTCTTTCGATGAGGGAGTTTTCCCTTGCTATAATCAGCTCTGTCTTATTCTCTGGGGGGCACTGGGCAGGGACAATGCAAAGCGCTTTGAGACAACGTAATGTTGAGAAACTAACTACGCTATATAAAAACAAATTGAATTGAACTGAATTGCTGACTGACAAATCCCAGCTAAATCCGTGTGCATGGATGAGAGCAGCCATTATCCGATTTTTCTTATTCAGTTTACTAAACATTATCTCTCCGTCTCTGTCTCTCTCTAAGACATCACATTTTTATTACCACCACAGAATCAACTTCATGCCCAAGAAAGACAAAATACCACCCATATTTGAATATTCACTACATATGTGACATAGACACACTGTCAGTCTGGTTAAACAGGCTCAGATATATAGCATATGATACACCTAATTCAAGGATTCCCAGTCTGGGGGTCACAACCCTCTTAGGTGACCAGCAGGTCAAAGACATGGTGGGAGGGAGGAGCACGAATCTTTCATTACTGTTAGATAATCTATAACGACAGATCACACTTTGTAAGAAACACAGCGAATGCAGGACATGTCTGAAAAACCTTTATAAACCCTCAACCAGTCAAAATGTATTAGTACCTAGATCAGAAAGTGAATGTGAACGTCTTGTTAGTATGTCAGTATTTAAAAAAAAAAAAAAAAACTTACTGTATTTGATTTATATACCTAAAACTGCCAAAATGGGACTTCGGACTTATCAGTTTGCTGCTTATGATGCACTGCATCAAATGAAGCCTAGAATTTATGTCGAAGGGCTCCTGTGGAATAAACTAAAGCAGATTTAAGTTTGACTCTTCACGGCCCCGACCTCACTTAGCATTTGAAAATAAATACAGCTAAATCATTTTTTACGGCTGTACCTTTCCAAGGTTAGCGGGCTGCTGGGATACGGTTCCTTGGCAGTATTTATTTTTTGAGGAAAGGTTATCCACTAAAAATCATGGGACACAATATAAAACCGGGAAAAACCCTGCAATAACGTCAGTCTTTGAGGATGTAAATGACACTTAAAAAACACCAGAATGACTTATATTAAAAGCTATTTTAAACTTCATCTGACATTACTAAACAGTCATTCCAAGCCACATTACTTTGCCACTACTCAATATTAATAAAACTGTACACATCATCGGTCACTATAAAATCAACGCATTTCTCTTACAAATCAGAGCATAAAAGATTATATTTAACACAAAATACAGAAATGTCACCTGCTGTCCAATAATCACATCTACCCAACTCTGAAAATAAGATGTGGAAAAACTGACTTTCAAAAGCCAGGACTCGACTATACTAATACACAACATATTACAACTGTGATGAACCTTTTCACACGACGGACAAGCACACCCTAGACAGAGCCAGACCTACAGTACGGCTTTCAAGAATGTCTCAAAGTACTGGATTCACATGTATGACATATGATGTCCTTGAAACGTGATTTGTTTTAACTACTGCTTTTAAAACTGAAATGCATTAGCAGTAGAGAAAATTTATAAAAAGTACCAGAGTTTATTAAATGAGCAGTTCCCTGGATTTTGAAGCAAACACGCAAACTTGAATTTAGCACTTTAGTGCATAAAATGAATACCACAAGCCAAAATAAGAGTAACAGTGATTAATTTAGCAATACCGGAGGGGATGGTGGTATTTCCAAAGGCAGGTGGGAGCTGCACTGTCAGGTACAATCAGCGTGGCACATGCAGAACGGTAAATGCTGTGCAGTTTAAAAGTCAACCACACTAATGAAGGTCAATAGCTGCAGCCATACTTCTCTACATTCTCCATGCTGATGGAACACTTCCAGATGGCCCCTGTAGCAGCAGCTAGAAGCTGCTTGTTCTCAGTCTCCTGCAGGAGAGCCACTAGTGGCCGCAGACCTTCGTACCTCCTGACCAGATCACGTGTCTTTCTGTCTTCTGCACACTAGATCAGAGACATTGAAGCGGTAACACATTAGAGATTCTTGCAGTGAAGCTGGATGATTAATGAACTGCATGATTATCACTGAAATTATTTCAAAATTCTTCAGTAAGGTGCATTACTTTAAATGCTCATACTGTACCTTGAAGATGGCACTAGCACAGTGCATTTGAAGCTCACGGTTCTCCGAATTAAGATTTTTGACAAGATCTTCGATCATTCCTTCAGTCTGAATTGCAATCCTGTATGTTTTCTGTAGGAGATTTTGTATATATAAATTGTTTCGGTTTCAGAAGTGAAGAGGAGGTGGCCTCCCTGGACTGGTCGCTGTAGGTAAGGGAGGTAACTCACCTCTGAGGCACACTCCTGCAGTGTTCCAACCACGGGGATCAGCATGTTCTCGTGGGGAGACTTGAGGAGCCGGCCCAGGAGCGGGATGCCCCCTGCCTTACGGATGGCCCCTTTATTCCAGGTGCTCCTGCTACAGCTCCAGAGGGCCAGCGCTCCACACCGGGCCACCTCCACATCCTTCTCCTGCTCCTGCGTCAGGGTGGCACTGTCAGGAACACAGTCCAGGAGCTCCACCTTATAGAAACAGCATGACATGTGGTTGGTGACCAGTTTACTGACTGGACAGAGCACCGACACAACCGTAATTATTAATTAAATATGCAATTGGTTAAACATGTAAGAGAAGCACTTCATTTAGAGCAAGTTTTGGGGCTAGTTTACTGGGAACTCAGCTGACCTTCTTCTGAAGGTACAACCGTTTCACCTGCTGTACTTTTCATGCTGAATTAATTCAGGTCATGCAACCCCACATAAGGGTACAACAGCTAGATCTGCTTTAAGTCAGAATTCCAGTGTCATCATCACTGATATCCGGTGCCCATAAAATTCGATAGGCATCATTACATGTAATCTGCAGTACAATTACTCCATGATTCTACATTATTTATATATACACCATTTGGTGCGGGAATTATTGGGCTTTTCAGGCAGGAATTGGAGTTGGTGAAATGACTGGCTGGTACCATGTGCTGAACCATATTTCCTCAGCATTTAAATGACGCATGCAGCTATTACACCATAGGTTCAAAGGTGGTCCCATAATTTTTGTATGAAATTGATCTCCAGCTGCAATATCTGGCATCTAGAATGAATACATCCGATACAAAACTTAGGAAAATATACATCTGAGCAGTTTTAATCACAGCCTGCTCCGTCAATAAACAAAACTGGTTTCAGGGTGCTCGGAGACATTCTATCTGTTATGCAAGATGACTTTGATGTCCCTGTACTTGTTGTTTGTGTAATTAGACTGCAAATGTGTTTTGGAATTAAATCCCAAGTCAGACTTCCTTCTCTGAGCTCACCAGCCTTTTGATTCCCCCATGCTGTCTCACAGTCCTTCTGGCCCGCCTAAACTTCGCTACATTTCCAATGGTCTCCGCAGCAAGACACTTGAGCTCCTTATCTGGGGAATCCAGTATCTTCACCATGGTCTGCAGACCCTGCAGGTCAGCAATGGCCCTCCGGATCTGCGAGTTACAGCTGATCTCCTTCAATATCTTCAGTGACCCGATCTGATAGTGAGAGACAGCATTTTCGTTTTCCAGGCCTCATAAAACAGTTCATAAAATACCAGTTTACATAACTATGGCTATTTTTAAATTCACATCAAATCAATTCACATCACTTAACACTTGTCGGAATGCAGGTGAGGGAAACATTTGTGTTTAATTCTCACAAGCAGTCTACCTGGAAGCGTACAAAGCAGTGATTATACAGCACAGCAACAATACATAGTGTGCAACTTTAGAGACAAATAAAGCAGTAAGAAGTACAACGCAGTAATAAGTGCAATGGACAGTAATACAGTCAGTGAATTGGTTTATTGACCAGAGTTCCACATTGTCATGGTCTGGTGGAAGTTTGCTAAGGTGAATTAAGGGTTAAAAGTTAAGCATGCAGCAATGCTGTGAGCAGTCGGGGCAAAAGCCCAAGTATCCAAGCATACACACAGAAAGATTAAAGAATTTGCCATTACACATACTGCAAAAATATACCTAATGAAATATTTGAAGGCAGACATAAAGGTTATGCTACATCCTTTAATTACTGTCTGATTTGCATGGCTCAGGCGGCTGTGCCTTGGACCCACACTGGGCAGCAGCTACAGCTGCATGACGCCGGCACCCAGGTCCATTGGCAGCGCTACTCACTTTGCATTTGATTTCTTCTGTATCCAGTAAGTTAATGAGAACTTCAAGGCCACCTACATCCCGGATGGCCAGTTGGCAGGTCTCCTGTGCCAGATTAAAATCCCTCATTGAGCAGAGAGCAATTACAGTGGCTGTCTGGTTGCCTCCCTGCAATAATAATTCAAAGCGTGAATTAATGAAATAGCTGGAGGAGATGAATTAGGGGGCATTGCTGCCGCTGAGCTCCCCTCCTTCGCTGTCACTTTGTTTACCTCCGGCTGGTAAGATCTTGGTTTTTCAACTGCAAACATAGAGGAATGAAAAATTGATAAATCAAATTCCCCTCTGACTCCTGAATGACATCCAGAAACCCTAGACAACGACCTAAGTTAGAAACTCCAGGAAGATGAATTCTGAAATGTTAAAAGATAATGAGGACTTTACATTTCAATGCAGTGTTTTGACAGTTGCTATATACACACACTCCGTTAACTTCCTTTGCCTAAAATTAGAAACTTACTAACTATAAAGTCAACAACTGCTTTGTGTTTTTATATTTTAAAACATTTTGCAATATTGAAAACAGGGTACTCTGGAATTATTTTGGTTTAATAACCTTTATATAAAAATTTTACCTCTCAAAAAAGAACAATTAAAAGCAAGAGAAAATACAGAGGTTTTCACAGGTAGTGGTATGGTATGCCTACTGGTTAATTTCTTAATTTATTTATTTACTTTATGCATTTATATTTTTGCTCTAAACGGTGCTACAAATCAAACACACTTTTGTACAAAGGGCAGCCAGAGAAGTTGCCCTTCAACACAGCTTTTTAAAAACATTTCCACATTGTGTTTCTGGTTGTTTGGGTTTCCCGAAAATAAATCCAGTTAATTTCAAAAAGCAAAAATGGCTGAAAACAAACAGACCTTCAACAAGGCAGGTGGAAAGCAGAGCCCAAGGTTGATATAGCACAACACATGTACTGCGACTTTGAAATGTGACACTCCACACAAAGGTAAAATATCTCTTGGCACAGGAACAATCGGATTTTCATTTTCTAAAGCTTTGTAGTACAGGCTGCTTCTGTGGCTGCTGCTACGAATTAGATACAACTACACATTAACTCGAGAGCATCTGAAACAGTGTACTTGTTTGCTTTCTGAGAAGTGGTTGGCTTTCTGATTAATTTTCTTAAGAGAATAAGATGACAAAAAACTCCAAATTACTTACAGAAAGCTTTTGTAAATCAAATAAGTTACATCTTCTGCAACTGGTAATAATGAAATATAAATATAATTTTCAAAACATATCAAACACAATACTGCTTGCTTGTTCTGGACATCAGTTTTAACAAATGGGTCTAAGTGGCGAATAAGAGAGCGGAGTAACACACCACATGTGCAGACCATATTATAATCTCAGAACAAATGTAAACCACTTGTCCATAAACAGCAGCTGATCAACTACTCCTTTGTCTTCACCATTTTAATCTTCAAAGGACTCAGCGGATTGAGATCATACATTGTAAATACAGAAAACTGGGTCGAGAACAAAAATCAGAAAACCTTTGCCCTTAAAGCAGTGTTGACACTGTTTAAAACAATGACAACAGTGGAAAATTGGCTGTAATAGCACTCACTGACTTTCCTATAGCATGTTAACGGCAGATGTGTCAGTTCACGGGTTTTATGGTGCAGGAATACTCATGATGTCCTGGAATATACTCATATGAGAGCAGAACATCCATTCCTAAGACACATGCAGTATTATTTCCAGTGTTCTAGTTAAACATATCATGTGCCAGCATTACTCAAATATGAATAGTTACTGTAAGCAGCCTTGCCTTTAAACAATCAAAAACAAAAAAAGTTTGCACGAAGGATGACCATTTGACTCAGATTGTTTAACTGTACTGTGCAGGTGTCTCTGGACTGTATTGCTACACCTGGCTCTGGTACATAAACCCACAGAACCACCATTCAAGACATTTGCTACCAGCTAGACTTGGCAATAACAATAGCAGTGACTAAATGTCCTCTTAAATTACATCCTGAGGAAAAATATCTTTAAATATCACACATTACAATGTAGGAAAATATGAAGGCAATTCATAAATTTACTCAGTGTCTGGGACGCACAGTCAATTAGTAATGTATCAGAGGGCAAACCTCACTCAGCACCTCCACCACTCCGACAACACACGTTCAGATTACATGATAAATCAACCATATAAGTACAGACGATCATTCCTGGAATTTATACTGTAGGCGGGATTTTAAAATGCACTTCACTTAAAATCACCTCCAAAGTAAATGGAGAAGATAAAAATCAGAGAAAGGTATAGCACCCACTAGGCCTCCAGGGGGTGAAGCATGCCCTGCTGGCAGCATGAAACGGAGCACTTATGCCTTAAAAAGCGGTGGTGACATCCTGGGACACTCTCTGACCCATGCTACTGGAGACGAGGCATGACGTGCGCTTCAGAGTCTGGCTCTGAGCCGCTGTGGCTAATACCATGTCTCGACTGTTCTGTGCTGTTCTCTCTTTCCCCAGGGTTTCAGATTTTCTCTAGGGATGAAAAAAAGACTACGAGATTGCAGCCAAGTCCGATGTAACGAAAGGGAAAAACTGTAAGAAATTCTGGTGTAAATTCTTACTGAAAAAAATATTCAAATTACATTGTCTTTGAGAGCTGAGATGCAGTTCTTACAGTATGTTATTTGCATGTTTCCTCAATAGAAAATATTTAAAAATGTATTATGATTTTTCAAATTGCATGTGGGCGTGTGTATGCCTGTATGTGTCCTGCGATAGACTGGCATCCTGTCCAATGTGTAACAATACACTGTATTTACCTTGTAGGTTGTATTTAATTATGTAATTAATTTTCAATAATAATTTCTGTGTATTGTACTATTAAAATTTTGTAGCAATTTTTTTAAATAAAAAATGCAGGAGCACAAAGCTGCAATTTAAAATCCATTGAAATAATCTGGCAAAATTATGTGCCACATATACAGCTGTGGTTTCAATCATGCAGAAGCAGAGCATTTGGAAATTATCTGACATAACAGGATCGTTTCTTACAAGAATTGAATGTGAGCCTGCAGTACCAGAAAGTACCAGCAGGGGGTAATATTTTCAACAAGGGTTAAAATCTGTCAAAATCTAGGCCGGAGAAGATGCACTATTTTGTTTCAGCATGCGAATTCATATGGTTGAAAAAATTTTCAATTATTTGTTTTGTACACAGCTGTTCTGAACATTTTTATGACAAATTTATAAACGTTGCACTACCCCTACAAATTACTACAACATTCTGACAATGCATTTGGATTGGCAAAAAACTTTTTTTTGGGGTAAAAAAAAAATCTTAAAAAAATAACTAACTGTCTGTCAAATTTTTCTAATTTAGATTTTTTTAAAGTACAGTACATATGTTTCCACTTATTTTTTAAAACACTTCAGCTATAAAGAGTCTATCAAGTAAAACTTCTTGCATGCGAGTGATTTTTTATTTTTACAAAGTACAGTGAAGGCTGAATTATTCAAATTGTTTTTAGTCCTGGTTCCTAGGAAAAAGTGAAAGTGTTTTCAAAATTGTTAAATATATTAATAGGAATCACATTTTTTCAATTATTGTATCAAATCGTGCGTGCAACAATTATCGAATCAAACGTGCAGTGCAACTTACATATATAGGATATTAATACAAAACAGTGGGGTGTAATATAACTGGCAGCAGCTGATGTGAAAATGATACTCTATGAAAAAGTCCTCTGTTGCCATATATATCTAGTTCTAAGCAATAAGACAGTCTGCTTTTGCTTGTAAAACAAACACCCTGTGGTTCCCTGCACGTAGATGCCAATTAAACAGTATGGGAACTATAATGCATGCTTATTGACCACTTACACAGTAAGTGAACACAGTTCAGGTTTGAGACCATAAACTGTAGTTCTAAATACACTCTCTTACATTTATTTGGCGTCAAGTGGATGTGCTGGTTTAATTTGCTGTAAAAAAAATGAATGAAAGCCTGTACTGAAAGCCAATCCTGCAGGCAGTTTTCAAAATATACTCCTTCATATGGATATTTCGATACGCTTTTTTAACCTGCACACAAATCCATAATGATGGCACTATTAATAGAGATTATTATGTCACTTTACGAAAATCTTGATCTTTTTCAAATACGAATGTCCTATATACACTGGGGAAAAAAATGTGCTTCTAAAATAAAGCAGATATTTAGTTTGGCTCAGGGTTCCTTCGAACCTCTGATGGTAATGATATTATAAAATGACTACTGGACAATTCCCATAAATAACTTCACAGCACGCCTTCCAGACAGAGAATGCTGGGAGGTGCAAGTTACAAATGCATTTTCTACAGTCACAGAAACACGGTAGTGAATGTGCTGATAATGAATATACTGGACAAACATCATCCAACTCAGAAAATTCTGTTCCAGTCCAAATTATAATGATTAAACACAATATAATAGGTCTGGCACAGTAGTAAGAATCCTGCTGAATTTTATGTGTTTCAAGAGAAAATGCAACTGCTGAGGAAAGTATGCAGTATATTGTTTGCACTGTTATAAAATTAAGATGCCTGAACTTTGCGTACAAATGGTTTATAGCTGCGTTAAAGATAATCCTAGTAAGAAGCAAAAAGGGTGAAAATATTTCTGACTTCAGAAATCATAAACTATGTCCTATTTCGAGCCGACCGCCATCCATCATGTGGGGATGCTTCCACAGCCTAGTGCAAACAGTGAGTGTTTACTAGGACGCAGAGCAGCCACCAGTGAAAGCTGGCACTGACAGCAGGCTAGTGGCTATACAGTATATTCCATCAGCAGGCCGATGCAGGAAAGGCGGGCCCAGCGGAGAGTAGGCCGGGGATGCTGGGTGCGCTTTTAAAAAGGAGCTTTTCCAGGGCCATCAGCTGGCTTTTTGCTTACAGCTTTATTCCACAGCTTTCCTATGAATGAGCAGCAATTTCACAGAACTTAGCAAAAAAGCAAGTACAAGCTAAAGGCTGACTGCATTCCATTTCCCCACACTAATGCCTTAGATTGCGTAGCTTAGTTTCCTTTAAAAATGGCAAACCTTGTTGCATAACTGTTTTGTAATTCTACATCCATCCATATTCAGGACTAATTACGGTTGTGGTAAGTCTATAACAAGAAGCATAAGACATAAGCTGGTTGTGCATCCTGAACAGGACAAGCATCTGTCACATGGTGTGATGATGTTTACACGTAATAAAGATAATCAGTGCAATAAAAGAAGGCATCGATCCACTTTAAATGCTGCTCTTTTGGAAGGAAATGGGAGAGGACGAGTAACTGAAGTGGCGTGAAGCAATACTGTAAGCCAAACTGTTTCCATAGTGCCCTTTAAACCTACACATCTGTGTGTGATAGAACGCCACGCTACCGTAAAACGCTGTCATGTCAATCTCAGTAAATAATAACACGTTCTGCTTAGTTTGTGTACTCTGATACGTTGTAAGAAACCAAGGAGTTGACAAAATCAGACAGAATTTCACTGCAGCCTGTGGTGCTGTTGCATTGGTAAATGACCTGAGAAAGGGAATTACCTCAACTCATTTGCAAAAATATCAGCAAGTCAGCCAAATAATTGTGTTGGCAGGGGGGGGCTCCAGAGCTCTCAGTTGTGGGCAACCCGTACCAGTGTTTATGATTAAATCCAGGCCCTAATGCAGTCTGCGGGGAACATTTCTAAATGAGAGGGGTATCTTTGCAATCCGTTTTGTTCATTGTCATGTGACCCAGTCAAGGTAAGCATTGGCTTCTCAGTGAAAATGCTGATATACAACAGGTCGCAGTGTTAGTGTCAGTGAGACTGAATCAGACATTTTTCCCACTGGGTTTTGACACTGATGTGCAGCACATTCCTTTATTCGGTGTCATTTTTAACTTGGCCAGTTTGCTGTACTGAGTATAATTACCTACTGATAAATACTCAGTCTCTAGTCTGTCATGGATGCAGAAAGCAGCCTTAAAAGCAAGATATGTGTAAACTGCATGAATTAAAGGCAATTTTATATGGCAAACAGTTTTTATTAGAAGTACCTTTTGCATGAAGGAAACGTGTCTGCCTTTACCTTTAAGTATTTCACAAGCTTCTGGATGTGCCAGTACTCGGAGGGCAGATCAGCGTGGCTCTCTGGCCTGCGCTCTGGCTGTTCCTCGTCCTCCTCGTCCTCTGAGGAGCTCTCGCTCTGGTCCTCAGAGCTGGGCCCGCCTCCAGGGGTCTTGCTTATTTACAGAAACAAGACTCAGTCAATATCTACAGGAAGAGCTCGTGTTTTTAGGAACTGGATAGGGTAGAGGAGCATTGCTAGACTAGCACACAGCATGTTAAAGAGAAACAGCAGACTGTAAAACATGCTGGTCTTGATATGAGTTTTACTGGGCCAGTAATGCACACATGAGTGAAGCTGGGGGTAACAGCAGGAAAAGCCAAAAACATCCCAGTGCAGAAACAGCGTGCCAGAGCTGGTCAGATACAAGGCTGGGCATCATCCATCTAAGGTTTCACTACTGGCCAAACCCAACTTCAGCTTCACTTTTTTAAGTACTATTTCCACTTTCAGCAGTACCTAAAGCTTCACTACATCAATTAAGGCTGAAAGTACAACAAATTCCAATTTTTTACTAGTGTATTAAATCCTGGAACATAAGCTATATAGAAAGAGCAGCAAACATATAACAGTATATAGAATTTCTATATAACTGTATTTATAATGTTAAAACTGAACTATAAAACCAAACTTGCTATAGTTATAAAAAGATTAATTACAAGGAAAATCAAAATCTAATAATTCAACATTAGCAGGACAATACATTTAGCCTACTTTAAAAATGACGGCAATAAACTTACTTGGAGAAGTGTGGGGTAGTTTAGTGATACATCTTTTATCAGGAATGTTATCTAATATGTTATTTAAGTGCACATTTGGAATTCCTTAAACACCCATAATGATGGCGACACAAACATGGTTCCAGTGAGTACAAAATATATAACCTATTTTCAATTATTAACAAATCTTTCCAACTGTTTCAGTTTATTTTTGCAAGCGGTGAGTGTGGGCTCGTCCCTACAACTGCACCATTGATACATCTGGTTCCTGAACCCATTAAATTATAAAAACAAACAGCGTAGGGGTTGACTGTTATTTCAGAAAGATTTTATAAGGATTCAATATCTTCAAAATCAAAATAGCAGGTAGCAGGTAAAGCAAAATAGCAAAAGTTTCACTCAGTAGATTCGAAACATGCACTAAACATGCACACGCACACATATGGCTTTTTAAGTAAACTGGGACATTAAAAGACCAGCATCATGATGATACACTATGGAGCAATGAAATCTGTAACATACACATATGCACCAACACAAACTGCGCCACAGAGACACAAATCCCACAGACTGAGATTCCATTTCCAGGGAGCCCTTCGTCAGCAAACACAACCACTTCCCACACAGTGTAGTATAGATGATGATAAATATTTGTTCTGTGATGCCGTGGACCCTAAGGACCCATCTGTATGTGTACCAGGTCTCAGCGACTCACAGCACATCACACAGGTTTTCATCTTAGGGACTAACAAGAATGCTAAAGCCACACACACACACAGAGAAACAGGTAGACTATATACAGACACATACATTTACATATATGAAGTTTGTTATCAGGAATTTGAAAAGACTCGGCAATGCCAATTAATGGACACAAAATGAAATTATTTTTTACATTAAGCAATCGCAGGTAGCAAAACATCTAGGCATCTTACATTTTTTGTGAAGACTGGTGTCCATGTAAAGATGATGAGGACAATTCTGCCTTTTTCTTGCCAATGCCCTGCAGAGAACTTTCCAGAATGCTACTCCTTGAGGCCTTTCTATCATCTTCTTCCCTGAAGTAATAATAAGCCTTGAGGTAAGTGTGGTGACATCATTACTCAGTTTATCATAACAACACAATGCCTTTTGCACAAAATCAAAAACTTATGATAATTGGACTGATTCAACTCTTTATAGATTCCAGAGCCCGAAGTCTGCGGTCCATTTTTAAGAATTGTGAGGTTTTTTTTTATTGCCTCTCAGTTAATTAATTTGGAATCCTATTTTATCAAGGGATGCTTGTGATTGTTCTGACATTAATTTTCCAGATATCTTCTATATTAGAGAAGAGAGCTGTGCTCATCAGAATGTTAACCTAGATGGGTGTATAATAATCATGCTTTTTTCTGTAAGTCCTGAAGCATAATGGAAACATGACAGACAGCATACATGCACGCAAACATGTCATTGGGGAATTCCCATTAAAGCAGTGGTCATATTGGCTCTAGAGCATACAATGAATGGTTCGTGGGAGTATTTTAATGCTTTTGACCTCCATAAAAGGACTCATTACGCACTGATAAGGAGATCCTAAGCCGAGGTTCTTCCATTTTGAAGATGGTTCTAATTTCTTCTTGCTTCCTGGCTTGTTCTGTGCAGGCTGTTGTCTTGCCTTCTCATGCACATTCTTTTCTTGATGCTCGTAAGACCTTTGGGTTTGGCCTTGTTCCTCAGCGCCAACCGGTTCCACATGTTCAATCTTTTGTGTCGATGGAGGCTCTTTCTGAACTCTGAAATCCTGTTAAAAAATGGTGGTAGTGTGGGGGAGGGGACAACCTTCTTCAATTTACAGAGAAATGCTAGCATTAAAATGCACAATAAATTTTCCTAGTAAAATTCTATGCAGTTTAGAGTTGTTAAAACCTCTTCCTCTCCATGATTGCTCTTTTTAACAAAACCTCAAGTTCTATCAAAGCTGAATGGCATATTTTCCTACATCTGACATGTACTGTAGACTCTTTACTCATTTCTGAAAGACACATCACACATGAATGTCTGAAAGGGTAGACATCAATCCCATGAAAGTGCATATAAAACTAAACTGTGAATACATATCAGTAACTATTGATATAAAACTGCCTTTCCAAGAATGGGGGAACAATGCCGTCTTTAATAAAGTTTGAATACGTAACACACTTCAGTACTTTACACTAGAGAGGGCCCTTCAATTACTTTGATGAACAATATCAAACGTTTATTGTTTTTTCACATTCCAGACACTAAAACCTAAAGCTTGGCATTTAGAAAGTAAAGCTTTTGTATCACGGTTATTCAGTGATAATTTTAGAGGTTTGAACCCCCCCCCCCTTTACAACCCATGCCAGCATGCCAACAAAACACATATGAATGGTTTGCAGGCAGGAAAGATTTTAATGACAGACACTTGCTGTACAGAAAACAGCCTGTGCTAAATTTATTAAGCTTGAATTGCACGTTTAGGATAAATATGCTAAACAATTACTAGATTTACACTTTAAAACAAAAATACTTAGATATTTCAATTCCAATATTTATGGAAATATTTATTTACTTAAATACTGAGATGATTCAGAAGTGGTCAGGCTGCACAAGCAATGTGTTTTTCCACATAACTGTGTTAACAGTACACACTTCTGCTCCTTTACTGTAATGCAGGTCTGTGCTCATTTTGAGGTTGTGTCAGAATCAGATCTTTCTGGAATACTTCATTTAATGGTTTTGTTCAAAAATATGAAAAGTGAAATTAGAAGGTACAAAAATCTGCAGCTTTCAAGCCAATCCACTATTTAAAACAAAGGTTTCCAGGAACACAAAAAGAAAACATTAAAAACCACGCAGTGCTCAACATTGCTTACAGAATAACTCACATAGAAAGATGGGAAAAGACAAAATTTTGACTTTTGCATGGCATCGTCCAACATTACATACTCATTATACACTTGATTTTGCTATTGTCTAGAAGCCTTTTAATCATTTAGTGAAGATGTCTGATCTAATAAAATTACAAAATTATATGCATTCTAACACTGAAAACATCCAGATGTGTTCATTTGTTAGCTTTGGATGTCACCTTGCAGAGTTTGGTTTTACTTGAAATTCCAGGACTTGCAGACCTGGCGATTAAAACGGTTAGAATGAACTTTCCACAAAATGAAAAGTCACATTCAGGAGGCACTACAGCACAAACACACTACATCATGAAATAACTTGTAAGTCACGTAACCATAAAAAAAAACAGCAGGTCTACCTTTATAAAACAATTTGTAATACAGCTGGCCAATCCTCATTCTCTCAGGTCATAAGAAAAGTCATTCACATCTCACTAGTCAGCAGGTACCTCTAATAGGACAAAACCACGACTGATGTATCCTGTTTCGTCTTGCACTTTAATTGGTCAAGGTTTGTTTCACTGTAAGCACAAATTAAATGGTTTAACAACTGGTAGTTTCCGTTTTGCATAACAGACCAGGAAAATGCTTATTTTTGCCCTCTAAATTTGATTTACTTGAATCTCAATTATCAAACTCTGCAATACATTCATTTTCTGTTGTACATTATTCTGAATTATAATTTAAGCCACAGTACAACAGATAATTAATATTCTTGTCTATTTGGGTTTACATCTGTAATCCATATACAGTATATAGATAACATCTGCACTTTCGAAAAAGGAAAAAAAACTTGCTTTGCAGGAACAGTAAAAGGAAATCGGCCTTTCTAATAGAATTTCCATTTTGATAGCTCAAGGCCAGAAATATATTTCAAAAGTGGCCCAAAAACACCAGAAAAATCTGCGCTCATCTTGCTATTTATGCAAAAAAGCTAAGTATTTGCTTCTGATTATAACTGATTCTAAACAAACATATTAAATAATTACAAATTAAGTTTAACAGAAGTGACATTACATAAATACATTTAACCAACACAATTTCAGTATTATCTGTAGTACCGCACCAAAACCTGAGAAGGGCAGTTATGCATTGAAATGAACGGCACACTGGCTCTGGCTGCTTCAGTGCACTGCGGAAATCATCCTACACATTTCTCAGTATGCTGTGCTGATAAAGAACACCACCCTGGCCCTGCCCACGGTTGTGTGTCCCAAACTGACCAAGCCATGTTCTGTCAGGTTGAACTTGGGGCTCAGAACTGCCCAGTACAATATTCTCATATTTTTCTGCCAGCAAAAATATTTGCATACCTTGTAGTTGCAGCAACTTTCCTGCAATTGCAAGGGTGTCCCATGTCCCAGTAAAATAATAAATTATATTCTGATCTGCGTGAAACTACATTTATTTGCAAGGCACAACTGTTGTTACCTTGCCCAGGAATGATTTAATTGGTCCAAAAAATCATACTTTACCTCTATTAACTATTTTGCTACTATAAACAAAACTACACCAAGTGTGAAATGCTTTTGTTGTATTCGACAGCTTGAAGCAATCAAAGTTTTCCAAAATGACCCACTAATACTTAATAACTACTATTCAAATTCAGTTTCTTGTTAAATCTGTGGAGAGAAAATGTACCTCCAGCTAAAATTTAAATAGCTGGATTCCAAGAACTGGCAGACCTCACTGTGGGTATTTTATCATTATCTAAGGTATAACAAACCTCTGCCTGAGTTTTCCAGCAGTACTAAGCAAAGCACCTACTACGAGTTGAGAAAGAACATAATTTTTAAATATGTGTATATCATGTTTTTCAGCAATGATTAATCCATCTCATAGCCATTTATTCAGGACAGCATCAGAGGGAGGAACAAAGATAGGTGTAAAGTATAAGGGCAGTAGAGAATTGTAAAAAAGACTAAAATACCTGTTTGTTTATGTGTTCAGCAAAATGAGGAGAATGGTGTTTCAGAAGTGTCACAAGATCTTTATAGATGTCACTTTTCCTTTCATAGGCATTTTCATCCCCTTCCTGTTTAATTCCCTGTAAATATGAGCTTTGTTGAGAAATAGTTTGCATATTCTTTAGAGATTCCTTAGATGAATGTCTAGGGCTTCACAAAATACATAGCAGTGGCTAAGCACCAATTACATAAAACCAATACCCTTTTACCAAATGTTCACAAGGCCATCGGTACTAATTACATCTCTGTTTTTAAGTTATTAATCTGAATGTGGAAGCTTTGCCATTTTTGATATTACATGTAGTTAGCAGAGTGACTGCAGTTCCTTAACAATGCTATAGTAAGTGGAATCTGGAACTGAAATGTTGATACAAGTCACTAAACTTTTCAGTGACACTTAGCTAATGTTTTGGAAACAATGTAAGAATCATTAATTTAAGCTCATTACAGAGTCACTGTGTGTCTTGTAAATTATATTAAGATTAAGTTCCTTGACAACTTGCCACGTCTCTGTGCAATGTTCATAACGGGAGCTAACAAAGTGGACTTTATGCAATTCTGCTCAATGTGCTGCTGCAATTCAATTTGTCTCTGAAAAATCTGTCTCTTATAAATCGGTACATTTAAAAAAAAATACAAAATTAACCCAGAACCCAAAATCATTACATGCTAAATGGTAACCAGACAGGAGTTTGCATTGCCATTTTAATGCATGCAAACAATTTTACACACAAAAAAAAAAAAGATTCCTCCAACAACAAATTTTTGTCAAACAAATTAACATTTTTGTATTACTTTTTTAATGTTTAACTTACCCCATTTAGAAAGACTCCAGCTGTACTACAAGTAACATACAAAGGATCAGTGTCACACGTGTGTATGACAAGATAACAAATTTCCCCGTGCACCTGACGCCAAGGAGGCGTTCGACAACCATTCAAATATTCATAATCTAAAAAAAAATAAGGAAAAACAGAATTACAAGACTGTATAAGTCATATTCTGTACTGTTGGGGGGGGAAAACATGATGCAGTATGGTGCAGCTCTGGTAAGCTTTACATTTGAGGTTTTCCCCATCATCACAATACAGAATATTGTCATGCATCCTGTCATGAGTTCACATTAAACTTTCAAACCATGCAAAGTGACCTTAGTCAATAAAACTGAGTGTCAACAAAACTATGGAAAGTTGGGAACTGAAAATTAACTACAGGTTCTACTGGTGTGTGAATGGATAGGATAGATGGTGGGTGTCTTTGAAACACACTGCCGAATACAACAGGGCTTATAGGTTAAATTCCGTGCTGTTATAAATCAAGCTTTCAAATCAACCCCCATCATGACAATATAATATATTAATAACAGCCATACTGCAATCCTAAGTATTTGCATAGAAGGTTTCAATTTTCCTCTGCACGTGGGACACATTTTTCAAATGGATGCATTTATCACCTGCTATGAAATACATTTCTATGAAGGGTTAATTATGATTCTTCAAATCTGTCCACTGTTTTGCTTTAATGGTGCTTTAATGATAGAACACCAATTATATTCTTTTTGCCAACCTGAAATTCGATGGTAATATTTTCCAAGCCAAGAGAATGCAGGCATCTTTGTATTTAAGAATAACCAGCATTACCTCCTTTGTCACAGATTAGAAGTACTAGAGTAATTCAAACCTGATGTATATTGCACAGAAATCAGCACCCTTTGCTCCCCGTTTCCACAGAAGCTTTTCAGCAGGGTCACATCATTCTTTACGGTGTCTGGGCTGAGTCTGATCTCTCTGCCGACAAGAAAAATGGAAAAAGGTACATATCCTCACTAATAAACCAAATGTACTTGCACATTCCTACAACACAACCGCATGCGCGATTCACTGTCCATCACTCTCACAGCATCATATTGCAATTGCCATGCAATAGGAGTCATACGTACTGAGAGATCTGCTTCAGCAAGCTGCTCAGCAGCTGTGTGTCCAGCTGTTTCAGGAGGATCAGCAGTTTAATTCTGACATCATGCTCCTTGTCCTCATTGCTGTTCACTTTCTCCAAGAAACGCAGCACCGAGGTGTCCTCTCCTTCCACGGTGGCGAAGCTGGGCCCCAGAATCTTTGCAACTGGATCTCTGTTTTCTAAGACAAAAGAAAGAAAGACAAAGATGTAAGGAAAATAATATATTCCATGCAATATATAAAGCTAGTCTACTGTATATAAAATGTGGTCTCACATTACCTTCAAGGCAAGTCCGGAGTTCTTTCAACTTTTTATCATTTGCTATCCGTACAATCTTGGTAAGCTGACTAAAAGTCAACACACAGATGGTGGAAGAGGACAGATGAAGCAGGGGCTGCCCGTCACTGCTGGCTTCCACTGACCTTACAGTTTGTCCGCTACAGAACACAACACACGGTTGCAAAGTAATAAAACATAATGTCACTGCTCACTTCACATATCTGTATTCTGAAATCAATGTGAAATTCATGATGACAATGATCAACACACATGAATCCCATTTATGGAAGTCAAGCATTGATTTCAAATGTATTCATAAGGAAAAAAGAATGACCAGGGATAGGTTCACACAACATCAGATGCACATACACACAGCTGTATAGTATATATTGTCCAGGATGAGTACCTGACTTCATATTCCATTTTAAAATTGCAAGGATCTAAAGTTGTTTTCCACTTCAGAGGTTCCTTAAACTCCAAATTTGCCTCCTGGGGGTGTCTGGAGCTGAAATTCTCCACAAAGTCGAGTATTTCTTTCAGCAAGGATTCATTAAGAGGAGTGATTTCTAGTTTGCCAGTTCCAGAACTAGCCGTGGTCCACTGCGCTGCTCTGGTTAGTGCAATCCCCATGGTAACAGATGCAGGTGTGCTCTGGAAGAGAGGCACATTTTAGGATAATGCAACCTTCTTAGCCCTTTATTTTATGCTTAGATCTTTGGGGAACCTCTGCCTTGCCGAAGATAACAAGACTCTAAACTTTGCATCCTCCAGCATTTTGTTGGAAAGCCTTGGTAAGGGACTGAGGTGCGCCAGTGCAGAGACCATCATTTAGGCCAGGGAAGGCAGTGTGACTCCATGAAAACCATCCTGACAGCAGTAGCTCTTTCCATCCACTGTTAGTTCCAGTTTACCACAAAGCCAACAAACAGAGCCTTCATGAGAAGTTACTTACTAGCTCCTTGAGCGAAGTTGGCAGAAAATTCAGAGAATGACACACTTTACCGTGATCCCCTCGCCAGTTTCGAACCACGGGCAGCGGGACATAGCGTACAAAATCTATAGTGTTTTTCTTTCCAAGCGGTAACCGTGTATCTAATTTTATGAAATGGAATACTCAATTACACATAGTAGTTAGGTTATAAAAGTATTTCAAATTAGCAATTTATGTCTACCCTAACACTGAATGGTCATTAAGACTGTCACTTCTGGCAGCTATAGGTAAGCAGATTAGTTAAACAAAATCCTCCATAGCCTTCATCTTCGTTGGCTAACCGAGCTAACCAGTTAGCTGTAAAACACCTGAAGCTAGTTACCCTTTAAATAGTTTATTTGCCCGGCGACCTATTTAAAGCAAATCCTTTAATCATATTACGAAAATTACTTAAATATGTGGTTTTTAATTCAGAGCATGGCACTTTTGACTTTTAATATTTATTGGTGTCCCGTTAATTTTCTACGGTGACAAAGTACTAACTTCGGAGTAACCATAATTTACCTGCGTGAACTGCAGACGGCTGAAAAGATCTCAGCCCAGTTAAAAATGCAAAACATGGTTATAAACAAAGGAATCGAAAGCGGTACCTGCTAAAATATAGATTGAATGTTTCACTTGCTAACTAATTTTTGACTTACCGGCCAATTCGCAAAACGTTTCTCCCCTTTGGAAAAAGTCGCTTACTGAATTCAGTTACCCGGTTACCCTGGAAACTGACACGCGCACTGAAGTAAACGCGCGGTTGCTATAGCGTCGCCGCACGGCGCGTGGCTCTCCGGCCGGTCAGGAACAGGAGCAAGGCTGCAAACGGGAGCTCACGAGGCTGTGGGTTTATTTCATTGTGTTTTTTCTTTCTTTTTTTTTTCTTAACTTATTCGTGTTATTGTTGTATTATTACTCTTGTAACATCAAACCTGGATACAGTTGTTTGTAGATCCTATCGGGGCTGTCTAAGAACAGCTGACTGTATCATCAGTAACATTGCATCTGTACAGCTCTCCAGACCATCTGCTTTCATTTGTACAGCTGTTATACAGCTAACACCAAAGCTGTTTGTAGCATCTTCTGTACAGCTGTCCAATCATCTAACATTTGTATATCTGCCTGTTACAGAGGTTTAAAAAAATGAACAGCAATATACTGTAATTTGGAGGATCATTTGCATTTTTATTTTGCTTGTGTAATGTGCCATTTTTTGCTTGTCAAGGGAAAGGTGGGGATGTGTCATGTATGCACCTATCCCATATGCAACCTGTTTTCCTTTTGGAAATATTTCTCAGTTGGAGGTTTTATGGCAATGTCTCTGAAATCTAATACTGTTGATTCTTTACTACTTTACTACTGAGTCTTCAGACTAAAAAGCCAATATTGCCTAGAAGCATGTTCTTCAAGTAGCACAAGAAGCTCTTAAGAAACTTCCTCCCTGGACGCTGTCTGGTTTGGCAGTGGGATGCAAACAAACATTTGGTTGACAGAGAAGGATCTATTTGGGATAGATTTCTCCTGCTCAAGCTCAAACAAATAGTTTGTTCAGTTCATTCCACTCAAATTTCAAGAAGCTGAATTTCTGACAGCCTTGACTCTGAAAACATAAGTCTGGATCTCGGAAGCATTTTCTTCTGATGGGGCTGGAGTGCTTTTTGCCAAGTCATGCAAAGACCCACACACACTACATCAACAATGAGAAAAAGGTGTTTAGAGATACTCCTAGTTCAACGAAAGTGGATGTTGAAGGTGATTTTCTTGTATCCCACTCAATAGAGTCAAAGTAGAATATTGCTTTTGGTGTTTCATAAGCTGAGATTTGTATTTTCAAAACGTGATTAATCATTCAGGACAGTTGTGGCGTTTCATTCTTCCAGTCTGCACTGTAACCAAAGAAGGAACACATCACAAGGCCCTCACTATACGAAAACACTGCTTTTGATATTTATAAATTCCATAATAAAAATAATATAATAATTGGAAAGCTCAGATAGGCCAATGCAAAACAAATCTCGAGTAAGATGAAGGGACGCAGTTTGCGGGAGCCTCATCCCAGACGCATAGTTGCTTTAGCAGCTAAACACACACAAACTGAAGCAAACCCAGAAAAGTCAACTCCTTTCTAAGCTTGTGCCCAGACCACAATTTATAGCCATAGTCCAGACGTGTTTTCATTTGATTTGAATAAACCCCCCTTTTTAAGTCTTGCCTGAATGAATCGTGCAATTCACGCAAATCAACACAATTTCTCATTGTTTGGCAACGGCCCCTAGTGTCATATGACTTGACTGGAATGACAACAGAAAAAAAAAACATCCATACCCAATGAAACGATCCCTAGAGTTTCTCTCACTTAAGTCTCCCGCTGGGCAATGACTCAGAAATTCAAACCTTTATGTTTTCTTCTCTGCCCATCCAGGACAGCAGGTGGAACTACTTTTACTCGGAGTGCATGGAGGTGCACCAAACTTGCTCTGTGCTTTGTAAATCAGTCGTGTCTGAAGTGACTGTAGCACATTTCAAAAAACTAGAAAAATCATTCAGAGTTGTCACAGTAATGATGGATGGGTGACTCAGGCATTTCATTTGGAGCCGAGGACCCTCTAATTTAAAAGCCGCAGTAAATTTGTATTCTCACCAAAGGGGGCATTGTGCATATTGTCCAGCAAAGATGGCCTTCCCACTCAGTGTCCGCACCATTCTCTCATCACAGGTGCTAATTGCTAAAATAATAAAGGATTGGAATGGAGCATTCTGATAGGCTAAACACATCACACATGTCCTTATTTGCATGGATTAGTTGAAAATAACAAAGGAAATATTAAATGCATATTTTACTTCCAATGTGTACCATTTATTTCTGTGAGCGCTACTAATGACTACAGCCTAGAAAAATTCTGGATTTCCATGACATTACTCTGTATTATTGTGTTTGGGGCCCTGTAGCCTAAGCTCCAGCTGGGGGCATCAATTGTTATGGAATAACTATAAATATAAAAATAATTGTGCAAGAAAAATTAGTCTGTCAGCTTGCTGGAAAACAGTTTGGCTACACATTAGTTCCCATCAAAGTATATGATGCTTCTGTAATCAGTTATGGCCAACAAGCAACATCTTATACATGATTTAAAGTGGTCAAAACAGCAAAAGTGCAAGAGGACTTCATACCTGTTTCCAGCAAAACTAAATCTAGGAAACGACAACCAAGGTGGTTTACTAAGGAAATTAAAGGACCTGTTCCTCCCCCACCCACTCGCTCACACTCACTCACCTACATAGACTACACAATGCAGCCCTAAAACTTAACAGCTTAACAAAGCAAAACCACTGATTTAGTCTGGCATGCAAAAGCAGGCTTCTGATTGGACTAAAAATACATATAAAACAAAAACTGTATGTATAGGCCTACATAGAAACAGACGCACACACGTTTGTTTATTTCAGATTGCTTTATCTCCAAAAGGAAATTTTTGTATTGCTTTTGTATTACAAATATGCAAGAAGTACTGTACTACATTAAAAAAATACAATTGAGATATACCTTTAGTGTGCAAAATAAATGTAAATGTGCTTTGTGCATTATGTGTTACCTCAGAGAAGGAAACTCCTCTTCCAGTACAGAAAGGTTATAGATGGTTACTGTCTTGGGCAGGAATGACCTCCTGTAACAATCCTTATTGCAGTGGATCTTAAGCAGTCTATAACGTTGAGCATCTTATGCAACATCCTTCTCTCCACAACCAACTCTCAAGGCCCCAGCACAGAGCCAGCCTTCTTAAACAGTTTGTTCAGCTTCTTCACCTTCTCTGATGCTGCTGCCACAACAGATGACTGCATAGAAAATAAAACTTGCGACAACAGATTTGTAAAATATTGCTGCACACATTGAAGGACCTAAGCTTCCTCAAGAAGTAGTCTCATCTGTCCCTTCCTGTAGACAGCCTTAGCAGTCTACAGTGTTGCAGTGTTGTCCAGGTGAAAACCCAGGTATCTGTAACCCTTTACCACCTCCACCTCTTCTCCTAGCATGGAAAACGTGTTCAGCTTAATCCTGGTCCTCCTAAAGTCCACAGCCATCTCCTATGTCTTGGTCACATTCAAGAGGAGGTGGTTATTCCCAGACCATGCCATAAAGCGATTCACCAGTTCCCTGTAGCCAGACTCCCACTGCTACTAACCAGCTGCTCAGACATGCATCCCCTCAGCTGCACAAACTGTGGTCTGTCCGTCAGGTATTCAATAATCCAGGAGGTTGTTGAGGCATCTACCTGCATCACTTGGAGCTTCTCATGCAGTAGTGTAGGCTGGATTGTGTTAAAGGCACTGGAGAAATAATAATAAAAAAAAAAACATGATCCTCACAGTGCTACCTGCTTTGTCCAAGTGAGAATGGGCTCGCTGAAGCAGGTAGATGATGGCATCTTCAAGCCTAACCTCAAGGCAGTAGGCAAACTGCAGTGGGTCCAGACTGGAGCTCAACTGATGTTTGAGATGGTCCAGCACTAGTCTCTTGAGGACTTTTATGACGTGTGATGTTAGGGCGACCGTTCACCAGGGACCTATATTATTTATATTATATTACACACACACACAGAGATTCTATTTAAAAAACTTTATATAGTGAGCATGAAGGAGCTGAAAGGTCCCTCAATTTTCTGCATCAGCTTTAAATTTATCATATTATTTTCACTCATTTGTCATCGTTCAATCATTCACATACCTGTTTCATGTTCCTCATCCAGGTTAAACGCGTCAGGGAAAGAGCCAGACAAAATTCACATTGGAGAGCTGACTATTCCAAACAGCACAATCAGGGAGAGTGAGCTTCCTTTAACAAAAGCACAGTTTGGGATTATTAGATTTAAATGATGTCAGGTCTGGCCTCTCTTTGTCTGGCACACTTTCGCTTCTCACGTGTCCAGGTCCACTTCGGATCGCGTGTGATTAATTGAGAGCGACGTATAATGAACAAGCAGCATGACAACCTTGTCATACAACTTTTTCCATGCAACAAATTACTACAAATGCAATACTTTGAATAAATTGTTGAGTAGTTTGTTAATTTAGCTATCACAATTCGATGTCAAATAATGGCATTCTTTTGTACTGAACATCAAAGGCTGCAGTGTTTGCCCATTATAAGTAACTGCACAGTTTTATTGACTGAACAGCAAATGCAGTGTGAGGTTAATTTATGGAAAATGCTCTGTTCTTCCACCACTTTGAATAGGTGAAGTGGACAAGGCAGGGGCTGCCAAAGAAAGCCTAAGTCCTTTACTGAGAAAAGCAGGGCTTT